AACTTGTGATTCTCCGGCTTTAGCCTCCCAAACAGCTGGGATTACAGGCGTGTGCCATGGCAAGATGAAATTTCTTAATGGTTGAAGCCAATCTTGAACATCTATTCATGTTGTGCCGGACTTCCTGAGAAGGAGCCACTGCGGTTACAGGTGTGTGCCACCATGCCTGGCTCTCTTTTCTTTTTTTCTTTTTTAGAACTAGGGATGGAACCCAGGGGAATTCTACCATTGAGCTATATTCCCAGCCCTTTTAAATGATCATGCTAAGTTGCCCAGTCTGCCCTTGAACTTGCAAGTCTCCTGCTTCTACCTTCTGAGTAGTTAGGATTACAGGCTTATGCCACTGCAGCCTGCCATTTTTTAAAGTACAATACAGTATTGTGTATTGCACAATGAAATGTGAGTAGTTTTTTTGTTGTTGTTTTTGGTTTGTTTGTTTTGTTTTTTGGGGGATATTTTTAGTTCTGGGGACTGAATAGAGGTCTCACACAGCCCTTTTTTAAATTTTTTTTTTTTCTATTTTGAGACAAGATCTCATTAGATTGCCCAGGCTTCTCTTGAAAATGTTTTAAAATAATTATCTTCTAAGAAATGTCTTAGTGCACTTTTTTTAAAAAAAAATATTTTTAGTTGTCAACAGATCTTTATTGTATTTATATGTAGTGCAAAGAATTGAACCCAGGGCCTCACACATGCTAATCAAGCACCAGACCACTGAGCCACAACCCCAGCCCTCTTAATACACTTTTTACTCTTTAACTACTGCCCTTAAAAATACTGCCTTTTAAGCATCAGATCTAATCACAAGTTGTTGATGAAATTTCCCCCAGGTGAACTACATAAAAGAACTGAAATAATTAAGTCACTCACGAAGAAGGTAAAAGTCCTTGAGTCCAATCAAACTGAATGTCAAACAGTCCTTCAGAAGACTCAACTACAGCTTCAGGAGATGGCTCAAAAGGCAACACATTCTTCCCTCCTCTCTGAAGACCTTGAGGTTGGCTTTATTTTTTGATAAGCTTTACTAGTCCAAATTCTGTGATCCAGTTATTGAAAAATTAGATGTAAATGTTTCCATTAAAAATTCATATGCATGTGTGTAGGAAGTTATGTGCATAGATGTATATCTATATGCTGTTAATGTGTGTGTAGACAATCTCCATCCATTAGTCCACCCGTCCATGCATCCATCCATCCATCCATCCTAGTTTTGTATTCTTCGTACTATTTTAGTCAGAAGCATGGTACTATCCTATCATGGAGGTTAGGCTTCCTTATTACCCTTGTTGAACTGTTTTGCCATTTGGTTTAATAGCATCTACCATTTTATCCATAATGGATTGTTTTGGAAAACCTTTCTCAAAGTCTGAAATGAGTTTCATCAAGTTTTGATAGACTCAAATTTTGCTTTCTAGGCAGGTGCAGTGTTGCACACCTGTTATCCCAGCTCTTTGGGAGGCTGAAGCAGGAGGATTGCAAGTTCCAGGCCAGCCTGGGTAACTTAGTGAGTTCCTGTCTTAAAAAATAAAAAGGGCTGGGTATGCACCTTAGTGGTATAGTGCCTTGGGTTCAATCCCCAGTAACACACATTTACACACACACACACACACACACACACATATACACACACACAATTCTGCTTTCTAAATTCTGAGTTTTGTCTGTTATGATAAATATATCTATATCATGTTAATAGTATATTAGTAATAATATCTGTAAGACTTATTTTGTGTGTCTAATTAGTGAGTCAATGTATCTTTTTTGAGCTAATTTGTTATGAGGTAGAGAAAAAGACAGCTGTTTTTGTTGTTGTACTGGGGATTGAACCCAGGGATTCTTAACCACTGAACCACATTCCCAGCCTCTTTTATTTTGAGACAAAGTCTCATAAGTTGCTTAGGGCCTTGCTAAGTTGCTGAGCTGGCTTTGGACCTGTGATCTTCCTGTCCCAGCCTCCCAAGCCTCTGGGATTACAGGCATGTGCCACTGTGCCTGAAGCAGCTGTTTTTCATATTCTTGTTACATAATGATATCAGTACTGATCTTGGTAATATAATGAACCTTAATTCATAAGCATATAGTAAGCATGTAGTTTTTTTCAGTACTGTTCTAGTTCATTTCTAGCTATAAAATAAGTAAAAAATGATTCTAGAATCTATTAATATGTTGCATGAAAAATGGAAGATATCTTTAATAAAATTTATTATTTAGAATAGCTTTAGGGTCATAGTAGAATAGAGCAGGAAGTACAGAGAGTTCCACATGTGCCCTGTCTACACACACACACACACACACACACACACACACACACACACAACCTCCCCTCTGCAGATGGCCTGCATTGCAGTGGTATGCTTGTTAGAATTGATGAGTCCAGGTGTTAACATTTATGTAAACTAAAGCCCACAGTTTACATAAGTGTTCACTCCTTGTGTTTTATATTCTACAGGATTTTGACAAATGTAAAATGGTGTATATCCACACCCCACAAAATGCACAAAATTCATTAAAACTACTTTATTTCATGGAAGCAAATCTCTTACGCATCCAGTTCTCATTTTTTTTTTCCTTTCTCCATGATCCAAAATTATACATTAAAATTTTAGGAAATAGACATGTTTACAAACATAACTAGTGTAATTCAGTATGGCAAATGCAAATATTGAGAGGATGCTAGAGTTAATGAAGAAATGGAAACCTGTATTCCTTTTTGATGATTCTTACTCAGCCTACATTTTTCCTTAAAAAAAGTTAAAAAACAAAATAGGGAGGTGAGCATGGATTGTGGCTAGTAACAAATGAAAAATTTAAAAGGACTCAAAGAGTATTTTCTGTGTTGTTCCCTTGTAGGCTAGAAACGAAAATCTCAGCAACACATTAGTGGAACTTTCTGCTCAGGTAGGACAATTACAAGCTAGAGAACAGGCTCTCACTACAATGATAAAACTTAAGGTAATTAAAAATAATTATATCTCCAGTTGCCAGAGCATTTTGTAGTTTACAAATCATATTCACATACTTTATCTTACCTAAGTCCCTTAGCCACCCATAAATGCAGAGCTGCCAAAGTTGCTTTTGTTTTAAATTCTTATTTTAGAAATGAGAAAAACAGGGCTGAGGTTGTGGCTCAGTGGTAGCGCGCTTGCCCAGCATGTGTGAGGCATTGGGTTCGATTCTCAGCACCACATATAAACAAATAATATTCTATCAATAACTAAAAAAAAAAAAAAAAAAAAAAAAAAAAAAAAAAAAAGAAATGAGAGAAACAAATTTAAAATCATGTCCCCAAAGCATTGAGAGAGGAGGTAGGACTCTACTTCTGGACATTTGTCTCCGAGGCCCATTCCATGGACTAGCATGCCTGAGTTGACTTGTTTTCTTCCCAAGTATTCATTGTTAGGTATTGTGAAGTTATTGGCAAATTGCTTGCTAACCCTTTTTTTTTTTTAAATGGAGAGGAAAGCTGTTATCAGTCAGAGAATTGATATAGTCATAATGTTATATAAAGTGATCTACAATCTCTTCTAATGTAACATGTCTTTGATATTGGTAACTAGGGGATGAGGTTGAATGATAATGCTAATTCATTTGTAATTTTTCCCAACACATTGTTTTGATGTGATTATAGGCAAACTTTTTTAAAATTAAAGAACAAATATCAAAATCTACAAATTAATTTAGTAGCAATGCCTATAATCCCAGCCATTTGGGAGGTTGAGGCAGGAGGATTTCAAGTTTGAGGCCAGCTTTAGCATCTTAGTGAGGCCCTAAACAACTTAGCAAGACCCTGTCTCAAAATAAAAAAATAAAAAAGGTTTCAGATGCATCTTAGTGGTAAAGCACCTCTAGGTTCAATCTCCAGTAACAAAAAACAACTAACCAGTATGCTGTCCATCTTAGCAAACTCTCTGGCAAAGCAGTGAGTATTAATGAAGATGCTGCAAAGATATTCCCCCCCACATTAGAATAGTGGATTTGTGAAAAAGCAGCACATGGAGAATTGGAGTTTTTATTCTGATGAAAAATAATAGTATTAGAACAAATGCCCTGTAGGGCATACTTATCAGGGGAGAAAGGAGCCCTGGGTTTTTAGGCTGAAAGAGATAGAGTGACAGTTGTGTATCTACTGGCATTGACAATTGTGCTGTTGTATGTAGTAGGACTTTGTGTGTGTATATGTTTCCTATTGATCTGGTCATGTAATTCAACAGTTTTTGTTGGTTTGGATGTTTTGTTTTTCAGGCCTGGGAATTGAACCCAGGACCTTTGACATGCTTGGCAAGCACTGTACCACTGAGCTACACTCCCAACCTTTCCATTGTGGTTTTTTTTTTTTTTGGTACCAGGGATTGAACTTGGAGGCACTCAACCACTGAGCCACATCCCCAGCCCTATTTTATATTTTATTAGAGACAGGATATCTCTCACTGAGTTGCTTAGCACCTCACTTTTGCTGAGGCTGGCTATGAACTCATGATCATTCTGTCTCAGCCTCCCGAGCTGCTGGGATTACAGGTGTGTGCCACCACTCCTGGATCCGTTGTTTTGTTTTTTTTAGTATAATTATTTTTAGTTATAGTTGGACACAATGTCTTTTATTATTTATTTATTTTTATGTGGCGCTGAGGATCAAACCGAGCACCTTGCCCATGCTAGGCGAGCACTCTACTGCTGAGCCACAACCCCAGTCCGCCATTGGTTTTTGAATGGTTTGCTCCAACCCTTTTTATCTCCCTATAAATCCTCCTAATATGAGATGTGCAGAATAAGTTTTTTTTTTCCAAAATGCATATATGATGTTGTAGCAAAAAAATGCTTATGCTTAAGTAGGGGTAAACCTGTTAATAATAGTTATTTCAGGAGAGTGGGGTAGGTTGAAAACTCTTATTATTTTAGACTTTTAGGTATTGTTTAACTGGATTTTTAGTACATACCTATTTGTGATTCAAAGACCCTCAATAATAATATTTTCTAATTTGGCTATGCTCATAGTGAGTCTTGGAGTCCTGTCTCCCTTTTTGAGTACTAGGGATTCAACCCAGGGACACTCAAACACTGAGCCACATCCCCAGCCCTTTTTTGTATTTTATAGAGAGACAAGGTCTCACTGAGTTGTTTAGGGCCTTGCTAAATTGCTGAGGCTGGCTTTGAACTGGCTTTGAGATCCTCCTATGTCAGCCTCCTGAGCCACTGGGATTACAGGCGTGTGCCACCATGTCTGGCCAGAGTCTGGTCATCTTAATGAACTGAAAGAAGGGAGGAAATGTTGGGCTTAAGGGATTTATTTGTAATGCAGAGAATAATTTCCCAGTCCAAATGCTGCCACCATTTCTCTTGCTGTGCCAGTATGTTAGGTCATCATATTGTCTGGTTCTAAACTTTCCAAGAGACAGTAAGGTATAATGATAGCACATGGCTTCTGAGGCCAGTCAGCTGGGTTCGAATGGTGGCCCCATCACTAACTAGTTGTACAGTCATGGCCAAGTAACAATCCCTTTAGGAGTCTGTTGATTCCTCCATCGCTCAGCAGTAGTAGTGTCTACCTCATAGAGTCATGGTGAAGATCAATGAGTTAACATGAAAAGTGCTTAGAAAGAAACCGGGGCACCATGAGGCCTGTGTAAATGTAATCTTTTCTTACTGATTAATTGGAATTTTAAAATGTAGCTTAACAGTTTTCAACTTGGTTTTTAGGACAAAGATATTATTGAGGCAGTCAATCACATTGCAGATTGTTCGGGTAAATTTAAAATGTTAGAGCATGCTTTACGTGATGCTAAGATGGTGGAGAATTGTATTGTGAAAGAAAAGCAAGATTATAAGCAGAAATTGAAGACACTTAAGATCGAAGTCAATAAATTAAAAGGTAAGGAAGAGATGCAAGTGTAAGATGGTAATATGCTATGTTGGGAATATATTTCTTCATTTGGGTTCCCTTAATCTTAGAGTGAATGGGGCTGTTCCTGGCTTTGGGTTCTAACATGAAATGTCTGTTTCATTTACATGGAATTATGTTGCAATTTTTGTGTTACAAGATAAATAATAAAATTGGGATAAACTGCATAATGTATCATATTTTAAAAAAAACTCTTGCCATAGTTTAGGTAGCTGTATCAGTTAGCAGTTGCTGGTATGTGGCTCATAACAGACAGTGGCAGTGTCTCAGCAGCATGGGTCCTGACAATTATTAAATTCAGTGTTGGAAGAGGGATTTGGCTGGTCTTGGTTGGACTCAAGAGACCTCTCAAAAAGCTCATCTGCTCCATGGGTCTTCTCATCGGCAGGCTAGCCAAGGCATTTCTTCCCACAGTGAAGCCAAAACTTAACACAAAAGCAGACACTTAAGATTGAGTCCTGGAGTTGACATGGGTCACTTCTGCTTTATTCTGTAGGCCAAAGCAAGTGATGTGGCTGAGCGCAAAGTCAGGTAGCATTGCAAAGTCATATGTAGGGAGGGATGAGGAGTCACCACTAACAGTCTGCCAGAGTGCCTTGGTGTCTGGTGTCTGAAGTAGGACCAAGCCTATGATTCAAAGCCATGTCAGTTCACTTCTCTCTGATTCTTAAAGTTTTATAGTGAAATGAAGCAAAGTTTGCCAAATGCCTTTATATATATTTGTTATATATAGTGTATATATTTAAATGTGGATATGGGTGATGGTGTCAGACTTTAAATTTACAAAGGATATGGAGGCAGCCCTATTTTTCTCTGGCCTTTCCCCTTGGGCAGGTTGGAAGGTTCAGAATAAACTGATTGAAGAGCTATCTTTTTTTTTTTTTTTTTGCTCTGGGGATTGAATCCAGGGGCATTTAACCACTGAGCCATGTCCCTAGCCCTTTTTATGTTTCGAACAGGGTCTCACTAAGTTGCTTAGGGCCTTGCTAAGTTGCTTAGGGCCTCACTAAACTGCTGAGGCTGGCCTTGAACTTGTAATCCTCCTGCCTCGACATCCTGAGTTCCTGGGATTACAGGCATGTTCCATTGTGCCTGGTGAGGAGCTATTATTTTAGTCTTAAATTTGCACCCATACTATCACATTTTATAAATGGCTGCTGCATTAGACGAGAGGACTACCCTACTGTGGAACAGGCCACTTTAGAAGCAGCTACAGAACTGTGGCAGGGGAATCATTCTGCCTCTATGTAGTGTGAAGTGCCTCAGGAGGCAGCAAGGTCTTCTTGGATAAACCAAGCAAGAGAGTGATGTGGAGAAGGTTCTTGTGTATTCCTGAACAAATGACTCTTTACATTTCTTTCAACTAAAAAATTCTGAAATTATGAAATTTTATCTTGGCTAATATAATTTAAAAGACTCAGCATTTTAAATCTTGACCTGTGGTAAATTTCGTAGATCTTGTTTTCATTTGTAGCTTCTGCTAAGATTACAATCATATTATGAGTCCTGCGTTAGTGGAAATAGACTCTGTCCTCTCTTTTAGATCAACACTTGATAATTCAGGAATACATTGTAAATATTCAGTGTTTATTGAATATTTAGTCCATTTTTCAGTGAAATATTCAAGTGAAAAAATTCTGTTGTATAAATATTTTATAAATTCAGTACTTAAAAAAAAGTAGGATATTGGGAATTAGAAAGAGAATGAAGGAAATAGACTCATTTAGTCTCATTGGACTGGGGAGGCAAATTGGAAGAGTTAGCATGGGAACTGAAACTGGACAGTGGGCAGAACTAGCCCTGTGAAGACCTGGGCCAAGAACCTTGCAGACAGGCCATGCATGTGGTGCACACCTATGATGCTAGTGATTTGGGAGACTGAGGCAGGAGGATCAGCAACTCAGACCCTGTCTCAAAATTAAAAAGGAGGGCCTGGGCGGTGGCTCAATGGTAGAGCACTCGCCTAGCATGTGTGAGGCACTGAGTTCAATCTCAGCACTACATAAAAAAATAAATAAACAAAACAAAGGTATAGTGTCCATCTGCAACTAAAAAAGAAATCCTAAAAAAAAAAAAAATTGAAAAAGGACTGGGGATGTAGCTCAATGGTAAAATACCTCTGGGTTCAATCCCCAGTACCAAAAACCAAAACAACACAACAACAAAAAACCCTTCCAGGCAGAAGAAACAGAAAATACAGAAGCACTAGGGTGAGTTTTAAGGTTGGGACTTTTTTTTCCCTCTAACACCAACAAATTCTCCATTTCTTCAATGCCAACTGAGTGTTCAAAAATTCAGTTCAGTTCAACTCAACACTGTCTACCTGGAGTTAGTGTCAGATCCCACAGGTGGTGGTGGTGGTAGTGGTGATGATTATGATGATGATGATGATGTTGTTGATGATTTGGGTTCTGGGGTTGAACTGAGGGGTACTCTACCACTGAGCTATATCCCTAGTCCCTATTTTATTTTTTTGAGACAGGGTCTCCCTTAATTGTTAAGGCTGGCCTCAAATTTGCAATCCTTTTGCCCCAGCCTCCCAAGTCACTGAATTATAGGTATGTGCCACCACATATGATTTAGCCCCCATAGATTAAAGACAGACTTCAGACACCAGTCACAAATCTCAGGGGGTCCCCTCTACTTCTGACTGGCAGTAACTACCTCCTTGGATTGGATTGTTTCCTAGAATGGTTCATAAAACTCAGGGAAACACTTTACCTCCTTTTCTGGTATATTATAAAGGACACAGTTCAGGAACAGCAGGGGGAAGAGCTGGATTCCATGCATAGAGCTCCTATTCCTTCTCTGGAGTGCTACTTGAATATGTCCATGTATTCACCAAACCAGTTTTCCTTAAATTTCAAATCTCCTGTTCAGAAATTTTTATAGAACTCAGTCTCCAGGCCTGCCTCCCTTTCTGGGAGGCAGTGGGTAGGGCTGAAAATTCCAGCTCTTTTAATCCCTAGATCTTGCTGTACCCAGAGCCATCTGGAAGCTACCAAGGGGCTGGCCCTTCCTAAGTAACCTCATTAGCAAAAACTGTGGTGCAGTCTTTCCAGTGAGAGAAGATGGGAAAGCCAGGATTTTAGATCTTTGCCAGAAACAGAGGCCAAAAGCTGAATTTATTTTTCCTTTTAATTCATCCATGTCCTAGGAGCTGAAGGAAAGAAGGGGGAGAGGATCAAGGAAAGGGACATATCCAGGTCACACTGGCTTGTCTGCAACGAAGGGTATTGACTTCATTCTGAGTTCAGTAGGAGGACTTCTTATTGAGAAATGGCACAGGCAGTTTTTATTTGTAAAGATTGCTGTGTGCAAGCCGGGCTGTGCAGGAGGGGCAAGGCCAGAGCAGGAGACCAGCCAGACAAGAGGTAGCAAAACCTTGAACGAGTGTTGCTGCCAGGAACATGGCCAGATGTCCAGCTTTCAGATTAACTGGTAGTTTGTGCTGAGGACATAAGGGTTCTTCATAGTGTATAGCTTCCTAGGAAGCCAGTATTTATTTGAGGAATTTTTTTCCTTCTGTTTATGAAGAGGACCTAACAGAAAAGACAACGGAAAATAATGAGCAGCGAGAAGAGATCATTCGCCTTAAGCAAGAGAAAAGCTGCCTGCATGACGAATTGGCTTTTACTGGTAAAAAAAAAAAATAAATAATAACAATTACAGTGATTGAATAGTTAAATGTTAATAACCTAAACTTTCTATGGTACTGCTATGACAGGCTAGTGGAAATACACCTGTCTCAAAACAGGTTTTGGTGTTTTATTTTGTTTTTACTGCCCTTTGAGGAATTGGTGAGGGACCAGGTAGGGAATTTTAACTGTAATTAAGCTTCCAAGTAACTGTTCCCTTTTCTGTGAGATGAGGACCTGTGCTGAGCCTATCATTCTTCTTCTCACTGAAAGCATAATATTCCTTTAAAACTCATTTAAGCCAGGTGCAGTTGTGTACACCTGTAATCCCAGCATTCAGAAGGCTGAAGCAGGAGGATCATGATTTTGAGGGCAGCCTCAGCAAGAGCAAGACCATGTCCCTCCCCCCAAAAAAAGTTATTTGAAAAGAATTTTATATATTGATGTAAGGAGGATGTTTATTTTATTTTGTAGTACTGGGGATTGAACCCAAGAGTGCTTTACCACAGAGCTACATCCCCAGCCCATTTATTTATTTATGTTTATTTACTTATCTGTTGATTAATTAATTTTTTTCCCATCTGTTTATTAATTGATTGATTGTACTGGAGATTTGATGCAGGGCCTCATACATTCTGGACAAGCACTCTGTCACAGAGCTACATCCCCAGCACTAGTATTTTTTTTTTTTTTTTTTTTTGAGACAAGGTTTTCACTAAGTTGCTGAGGCCAGCTTCATACTTGTGGTCCTCCTGTCTTAACCTCCCAAATAGCTGGGTTACAGGCATGCACTACACTGCCTGGCAAGGACAATGTTTGTAATTCTGCAAATTCCCTATAAAAATGAGGAATTCAGTATTTTTCCAATTTGCAAATTAATTACCTGTAGTAATTGCAGTTGGAAAAATATTCATGTGTAAGTCATGAGTGTAAGTATATTCATATGCATCAGTATGACCCTAAAATAAGAATGCCGATGCATTTTCCTTGACTAAGCAAGTTTCCCCATTTGCAGTCTTAACTCCTCTGATAACATGAAAACTGCCCCAGAATCTCCACTAGTGATGACCTGTCCTTTCCCGCTCCCTGTTGAGAATCTCTGATGTGTAGAGCTTGTTTACACTAACCCTGTCATCGAAGGTTTTATTAGGCTTTCATTTCAGTAGTTTGTATTAGGAACATCATAGATTTGGAGGTGAAGTTCCAAATAGAAAATTAGATTAGGGTTGGGAATGTAGCTCAGTCAGTAGAGTGCTTGCCTCGTATACACAAAGCCGTGGGTTCAATCCCCAGCACCAAAAAAGAAAGAAAGAAAATTAGATTAACGCTTTTTGGAGTACACTGTTACCTAGCCTCAGTACTCCTCCTTCTAGGAAAAGAATACATTTCTACAGATTAAAGGGGAAGAAAACAGTATTATATTTAAGATTTTTTTCAAATACTGTAGAATTCTTAATTTTAATCTTCTGTGACTCAAGATTGGGGGAAGCCAGTCATGGTGATGAATACCTGTGTCACAGCTACTCAGGAGACTGAGGCAGGAGAATTACAAGTTTCAATCCAGTCTGGACATCTTAACGATACCCCCCATCGCCAAATACAATTTGTTTAAAAAGGGCTCCCCAGGGCTGGGGATGTGGCTCAAGCGGTAATGCGCTCGCCTGGCATGCATGGGGCGCTGGGTTAGATCCTCAGCACCACGTAAAATAAAGATGTTGTGTCCACCGAAAACTGAAAAATAAATATTAAAAAATTCTCTCTCTCTCTCTCTCTTTAAAAAAAAAAAAAGAGGGGGGCTCCCTAGCCCTTTTTAGTTCAGTGGCAGAGCTCTGCTGAGCGAATCTTTTATACAGGGCCCTGGGTTCAATTTTGAGTACCACCAAAAACAAACAAACAAAAAAATTGTGGGGAAGGTGCAGTTTTCTATCACCAGAGGTCACTGTTTCCATTGTTTCTAGGATTGCTGGCTCTCAAAATTATACTACTTTTTATGTTACTAAAGATGTAGCATATCCATAGCTTTACCATTGAATTTGGAGAATCTTTGGATCAACATTTGTGTATTAGTGATTTTACTAATTCTTAGGAGCTCATAGGTCTACAAAGAATTTAGTATTACAGAGCTAGGATTGTGGCTCAGTGCATGTGTAGGGCACTGGGTTCAATTCTTAGCACCGAATGTAAATAGATGAATAAAATAAAGGTCCATCAACAATTTAAAAAAATTAATTAAAAAAAGAATTTAGTATTTTAAAAATGTTATAAATAAAATGCCCTGGAATGTCAAAGGAAAAATAAAAGTTTATGGGATATTTTAACAGTCTCTCTCTCTCTCTTTTTTTTTTTTTTTTTTTGCAGACAAGGTCTCAACTGCTCAGGTTAACCTTGAACCTCTTGGCTCAAGTAGTCCTCCTCCAAAGGAGCTGGAACTATAGGTGTGAACCACCACACCCATCCAGGGCTCCCTTCTTTTTGATTCATCATTCTTTATTTATACATCCAATTTTTTTTTGGACGGGGAATTGAACCCAGGTGTGCTCTACCACTTAGCTATATCCCTAGCCCTTTTTATTTTCTATTTTGAGACAGGGTCTTGCTAAGTGCTTAGGGCCTTGCTAAATTTCCCAGACTGGCCTTGAACTTGTAATCTTCCTGCCTCAGCCAGCCTTTGGAGTCACTGGAATTACAGGTGTGTGCCACCAAGCCTGGCACTTCCACTGTTTAAATAACTGATTTTTCTTTTTTCCTTTATGCATATAATTGAATTCAAATAAACTGAATGTAACTATATAAATGATGCCAGTTCATTGTTTCTATGTGGTTTTGTGTGGTGTTGACTTGTCTGATATAAAGAAATAAATCAAGGGCTGGACACTCAGCTCAGTGGTAGAGTGCTTGCTTAGCATGCTCAGGGTCCTAGGTTGGATCCCCAGCACCACTCCCACCCCACCCACCCCACCCCCTAAAAAAGGAAAAAGTAAAATGGAGCTTAGATCTGCTTTGGAGGCCTGAGCATGAAGTGTGCGGGGTGTGACTTTCCACAGAGGACTCCTCACTCTTTTTTCTGCATGGTCCTCTGTGTCCACTAGCAAACACCAAGGGAATACTGTCTGGGTAGAGTTGAGTCTGCAGCGCATATTGTTCTTAAATGTTTTTGCAATGTATCAAATGTACAGTGATTGCAAATATTTTTATTCTATTCCATCTAAGAGAAAATAATGTGAAAAAAAGCTTCTTTTATGAAAGAACCATATGTAAAAGTTGTAAACTTCCATTTCAGGTGCATCCGGTTTTAGAAACCAACATTATCATTAGGGGTCTTTTTTTCCCCCCTAGTACTGGGGATTGAACTCAGGAGTATTTACCACTGAACTACATCTCCAGTTCTTTTTATTTATTTTTGAGACCAAGCCTTGCTAAGTTGCTGTGGCTGGCCTTGAACTTGTGATCCTCCTGCCTCAGCCTCCTGAATTGCTGGCAAAATTTATTTTTAATTGAGACCTAATAATTGTAAATATTATGGGATACAATATGAGAATTTGATGTATGTATACAATGTGTAATGATCAAATCAGAATAATAACATTTCCATCTTCTATTATCAATTTCTTTTTTTTGTGGTACTGGAGAAGGAACCTATGGCCTTGCACATGCTAGGCAAATTCTCTACTACTGATACATGCCCAGCCCTAATTTTTTTTTTTTTAAAGCTCAATGGAAAGCATTTTATTTTTTAAATTTTTTTAAATTTTATTTTTTTAGAAAGAGAATTTTTTTTTTAATATTTATTTTTTAGTTTTCGGCGGACACAACATGTTTATTTGTATGTGGTGCTGAGGATCGAACCTGGGCCACACGCATGCCAGGCGAGCGTGCTACCGCTTGAGCCACATCCCCAACCCCAGCCCCAATTTTTTTGTTATTTGATTTCTCTGTTCTTTGTGAAATAATTTCTCCTTAAGAATAACGTTAATCTTTTCTGGTATAGTACCTTAGATTGTTTAGTTCTTGTAGGTTCTTATTTTCCACATTTTGAAGCTAGTTTAAAAATATTCATTTGTGGGACTGGGGTTGTAGCTCAGTAGTAGTTTACTTGCCTTGCATGCATGAGGCACTGGGTTCGAATCTCAGCATTACATAAAAATAAATAAAGATATTGTGTCTATTTATAACTAAAAATACTTTTAAAAAATATTCATTTGTGGGTGGTGGGTAGGGAAGAATGAAGGAACTTTGGATTGTGCAGAGGGAAGTGAGGGGAGGGGTGAGGCTGTGGGGTTGGGAGAGACAGTAGAATGAGAAAGACATTATTACCCTATACACATGTTGATTACACTATTGGTGTGACTCAGCACCATGTACAGCAGAGGAATGAGAAGTTATGCTCCATTTTTATACAATGTGTCAAAATGCATTCTACTGTCCTATATAATTAATTAGAACAAATTTTTAAACAGAAAAGTTTAAAATATATATACATACATATATATGTGTGTGTGTATGTATGTATAATATATATAAATGCCCTACTGCAAATCTGGTCACACTAAAATATCCGTGCTTCAGCAAAATATTTATAAAGTCTTTGCAAAAAGTGAAGATTTTAAAAATTAATAGTACCTCTCTTAGTCTTTTTTTGCACTAAAAAACTGAGAATGTAGATTGAGGTTGAATATCCCTTATCCAAAATATTTGGGACCAGAAGTGTTTCAGGGTCTTTGGGATTTTTGGAATAGTTGCACGTACATAAGTAAACATCTTAGGGATGGAACCTGAGTCCTAAACAGGAAATTCATTATTGTTTCATATACACCTTATACTTATAGCCTGTAGGTAATTTTAAACAGTATTTTTAGCATGCTTACATTTTTTTTTTCCAGTACTGGGGATTAAACATAGGAGTTCCTTACTACTGAGCCACATCTTCATCCCTTTTTTTTTTTTTAAATTTTGAGACAGGGTCTTACTGAGTTTCACAGGCTAGGCTCAAGCTTGAGATCTTCCTGCTAGCCTCCTTAGAATCCATTAGGGATACTTGACCTGTATCCCTATGCATATTAAAGATAATTCTCATTGTGATTATCTGGCAAGTGAAAAGGGTTTTTAGGAAGTAGGAAACCTTTAAAAGAGTGTCTGGCTTTTACAAATAGAAACTCATTTGTTAACTTATGAGGTTTCCTTAGAGGTAAAAAAATCTTTAGTCAGTGAGAATTTATAAGAAGGACTTAATTGCGAGATTCTATCACATTGACTTGCATGATGGCAAAAATAGTGATTTCTTCCCCTGTCATGTTTTCATGTTTTTTTTTCATGTTGTTCAACTTTTTTTTTAACAATGAAAACAGTCCTAAGTTACTTGTATAATATGAAAAAAGTTAAAAATAAAATAACATATATCAAGTATAGAGATTTGGAAATCATTCCCATCCCATTCCTATAATAAGAAAGACAAATAAGCCTTCCATCTAAAAATAACCTTTCTCGGGGCTGGGATTGTGGCTCAGCGGTAGATTGCTTGCCTAGCACGTGTGAGGCCCTGGGTTCGATCCTCACCACCACATAAAAATAAAAAAAATTTT